TCCTCAGCGTTTTCATCCTCCTCAATCATGCTTTCATCAGGCGGTGCATCGGCATACTCGCCATCATAACTTTCATCATTCCACGGAACATGCTGTTGATCAAACAGCTTCTCAACTTGCAAAGGATCAACAGAGCCGATGGTGATGATGTGGCGGGACCCTTTCGGCTCAAACTCCTTCTCAAGATCATCGAAGAGGCTGGTCAAGCAGTTGATTTCAATCAGTTTCCATTCGGCACCATCGTACTGAAGGGTCGTGCGAAAGCTCACTCCGTGGTGGCCCAAAGGCACTGACACATCAAGAAACCCATTCGACTGATCTTGCCTAGCAAAAATTCCAGGCTGCATCTCCGTGTATTGGCTACCCAAGTTCAGCCATGCACTTCCAAGCTTGATTGCACGCACAGCAGCAGCATCGGGGCCGCCTGCTTCACCGCTCTGGGGCACCTCGACCTGTTGATCCCTGCCGTGCGCATATTCATCATCAAGCTCGTCCCCTTCGGAAAGAGGCGTGGCTTCCTGGGGCTGGTGGACTGCATTGTCCTCTCTGTCATCGTTCAAACAGTCGTTGGCACACACCACCACGCTCATGATGGAGCCTCGCGCATGCAAGGAATTGTGCCTGTAGTGCATAGGCACGCGCACTGTGCCCCCAGGATTTGTCAAGTAAGGAACACCGTCACTGTGGATGATGTCCCATCCCCGCCTGAGCAACTTGCCAACACTGAAAAGCGGCTGTGTCACACTGCTCAACAGCCACCGCTCCTTAAATTGAACACCGTCAATCTCAAGCACTGCCGTACGCATTTGCGAACCCCTAATCGTGCGACCCTGGGCATCCCTGAAACTATCAAGGCTCGCTCCATCAGCCCTTCCAACGTGTGCCCAAGACAGTGGCAAGCATGAGGCATCCGACCCGGAGTCGACCACAACCTCAATCTCGTTGCTCATGTCTGCCCATGACACGGCACACACAAGAAGGTCCTGCAGTGGATGCACAGGTGGGCTCACAAGATGCTCAGCGGCACTCTCGAACGGTTGCACCGTCGGCTCGCACTGCAATGGCTGCCGTGATCGCCTACTTTGCCTTGCATGGCTGCGGGCTGGGGCCCTGCATGTCACATACTCTCGTGCACTGCTCAAACAGCCCACACAGGCGGCTTCGCGCATCTCATTCGGCACTGTCCAGACACAGTCACTGTCTGAATATGACATGTCAAACACTTCAGCTTCTGGCACCGGCACAAGAACATGTGGCTTCAAAGGGTCAACGCATGCAGACGCCAAAGACTTGCACAATGAAGCAAAACTCGGCTGGGCAGTAGCTGCAGCTGGATCCTCAGGGCACACCTTTGTCAAAACACGCAAGTGACCGCTGATCTCATCATCATCCTGAAACGCACTGGAAGTCATGTCAATCTCAACTCTCGCAACACGCTTCGCTGTGGTAGCCGTGCTGCCTGCAACCTGCGATGCTGACGGACCGACTGTGCTTGGCGCCCCAACGGTGGACGCTGTCTCTGAACCCTGTGCCTGAACCTGCTGCACCCTCGGGCGCCAGCACTCAGAAGCATAATGGCCCTTGCGCTGGCAATTGTGACAAACTACATTTGCACGGGAACCCTTGGCACCAGGATTCTGCGGCTGCTGTCCACCTTTGCCTTTGTGCTCCTTGCCTTTGTTGTTCTTGCCCTTTGGCTTGCCATCTTTGCCCTTGCCCTTGCCACCATAAGGATTCTGCGGTTGCTGTCCGCCCTTGCCTTTGCGCTCTTTGCCATCTTTGCCTTTGCTCTTGCCCTTTGGCCCCTTTCTTTGAAGCGCATCAACCTCCATCGGGACTGGGCCTTGCTCGACAGAACTGGGCAAAGGCACTACACCAAGAGCTTGGTGCATTTTAGCCGGAGTCCAAGACGTTGTCGTAACTTCATACCCCAGAACGTAGTCCCTGATGCTTTGGTAATTACTGGAGTCTGTCATCTGAAGTTGAACGTGTTGTTTTATCGCAGAGGGAAGGGACCGAACTAGGGTGCCTAGCATGACCTCTTCCCCAGGATAATGTCCAGTGACCCTTTGATATTCTTCAGCTATTCTCTCGAGGCCTTGGATGTGTTCTCGCAGGCTGCGATCTTTCCCGAAGCTCGGGAGCGTCATAAGAGCATTCAAAAGAGCGAGTCCTCTGAATTTCGATTTGGGTGCGAAGGTATTGGTGAGCACCCGCCAGACTTCTAGGCCGTTTCTGTTGCTGACCTGACGCAAAATCGCTTTTGGCTTCGAACGAAGAATGCTTGCAAGAATCGCGTAGAGCCTCTGAGACCTTGCAATGCGATCAGGCGAAGCCCCAGTCAGATCAACAGGGCCCTGCAAGTTGTCCTCCACAAGCTTAAGGTCCTGTTCAAACTGGCTTTCAGCGAAAACCAGCCACGTTCTGAATGAGTGGCTCCATTCAGACCAATTTGCAAGATCGTTGTCGTGCACACCGGATCCAAATTCCGAAGGGCGATTAAGAATCTTATTCGCATCCGAAAATCCCGAAGTCAAATTGCTCGAAGGCCTTGCAACGGCTGCCTGAGCAGCCTGTGACGCTGCTTGCGCCGTCTCAACCATCTGTGCCATAAGCAACTGCATCTGTGTCATGTCGATTTGCACAAACTGCTGTGGTGCTTGCTGTCCCTGCCCAACTGGCGAGAACGGGTTCTGAGTCACTGGCGGCTCAACACCGGCACTGCCTGCCGGCTGCTGGGGCAACTGCGGCCCCTCATACACATTCTGACCTTGCGGATCCATCTCTTCTTTGTCTGATCAAGAAATTCAAGGAAATCAATCCAACTCAATCACAGAGTCCTGCTGCTGCAATCGGCGCTTGAATGCACGCTTCGGCTCAGCTGAAGAACTTGGCAGCTCACAATCAGCACTAGCTCTCAAAAGCTCCTGCAAATCAGCACTGCTAGCAAGAAGATCACGCTCGAAGTTAGGGCCTTCCTCCACAGGATGTAACGAAGCTTGTTGCAACTCCTCTGAAATGCAAATCTCAGCAACGTCTTCAGGTGCGAATGCCTCAAAAACTTCTCTCAAATGTTGTTTCTTCAAGCACTTTGTCGCAAACTTCCAAACGCACTCAACTGTATGCAGCTCTTCAAGTCTCCGCTCAAAAGCAACTCTATAAGTCGATAAGATCTTATCCCAAGAAGAACCTGATCTGCCCTCGGGACGGGGCCTTTCACAAAGCTGCTCAACGTACAAGCTGTGCAACCTTTCCTTCACTTCCTCTACCGCAGCAAGAGACGCCGTGGCCTTGCTCTGTCTGAGCACGCAATGGCTCGTCCGGTCTGCGCCGGGATTGCGATCCTACCTAGATCCTAAACGGAAACAGAAATCCCCAAAGGTCCAGGACAAACTTTCCAACGCCTGAGCTCCCCGAACGCACTTCGCAACGCAATGTGCAAGAGAGCCCCGAGACGTGTCTCGAAGCTTGGGCTTTCCCAAGCTCCGCTACCATGAAAATGTTTTGATTCCTCAAAGACGCCTGCGGAGTATAGCGCAATCTCAGTGTGAAACTCATGAGTGCATGAAATACGATAAAGCAAATCATGATAAAATGCATGGGGTATCCTAGGAGGCAAAATGATAAACAGTTGGAGAAGCATCAGTCGTGAGAGCTAATAAGTTGCAACAGGCAGTTGAGGCCAAAATTCGTGCGGCCAAAACCAATGTCCTTGCGGCAACGGCTCTCGATGCGCCGAATACTCCAGATGTTACGGGGCAGGCGATTCCGCCTAGCCCCAATGTTGACCGACAAGCGTGCTCATTGGGACAGGCGATTCCGCCTAGACCCTGTCTAGAACCAAGGCAGCAGCCGATATACACTTCGCTTGCTTCTGAAGATAGTGTGCCACCGCTTGAGCGCACTGGCCTGGACAATCAAGTCAGACCTAAGAAGATTTTGTCGACGCATATCCCAACGCAGCAGGAAGAACCGGCACATAAGAAGGTTGGCAAAATGATGCCAGTGATCCCCGCAAGAGAGAGCGTGTTTGCGAAATTATCAGCGCTTGCTCTTTTTACCCTTGCCTTTTCCTTTGTGCTCTGGTGACCTGGGCCTTTGCTTACCTAGGTCCTGGGGAGAAGTCTCACCCTCTGTCCTCGGGGCCTCTTGGAGCACTATTGGCTGCCTTGGCGGTGCCTTAGGTGGTTGAGGTGGAAGAACGGCAGGCATGCCGATGTTGGAGGCAGGGATTGCCTTTGACACCACCTCGGCTTTGTGAGCCAAGGCTCGAGCTTTGGATCTCGAGACAGAGCCCACAGACTTGGAAGCCAAGCCGGCCGCAGCCCGAGCTTGGTTTACCTGCCAAGCGTGCCATCTTTCTTCCGCCGTCCGCGGCTACGGCTGACCTGCCCTAAAGAACTTAGCCACGCTTTGCAGTCCTGTCTCCGCCTGAGCTTTGGGCTTAGGTTTGGCTTTGCTTTTGGGCTTGGAGGGGGCAGCCGAGGGCCTGAGAAACTCAAGGTTTTTGGGAGGAGGCTGTGTTTCTTCGGGGTCCTTCCTAGGCTGAGAAACTCGAGCCACACACTGAGGCACAACAGAAGTGTTCACGACAGGGGGCTCTGGACCTCTAGAGTTGGGGGCTTCAGGGGTCACAGGGGCACTGGGAGGAACAGCTCTACCAGCAAACAGCTCTGCAAAACCTTGAGCACGTGAAACCCTGGGCCGCGGAAGAGGGTCCCTCTTCCCTTCACTTTTCTTTGCGCCTTTGCACTCTTTGGTGAGGGGTCCTCTTGCCTTTGTGCGAACAGAGTAGTGGGCATTGCACCAGGAGCAGCTCCACTGGTAGCCCAAATTCAGGATTTTGTGAGTGGGGTGGATCCCCGCTGAAACAGGCAGTACGGCCGGTCTGTGCTTGCAAGGGTGCTCAAGGACAAAGGCCACTACTTCGTCCGGATCCACTTGCTGCGCGTATAAGTTGCATTCCTTGCACTTGATACAAAGATTTTTGGCAGAGGTGGTCACCATCCACTGGTGACCTGTGTGGGCATGGGACCCCTGCGTCGCAGCAAGGAGTCTCTGTCTCTTGTTGGGGCCCTGTTGCTTGACCCCTCTGACTCTGTTCTTAACAGGTGACGCCTCGAATTTGGTTTCCTTGTGTTTCGGCACAGGGTCATGTGCCAGTATATAAGAGCACCTTTGTCCTAGCAGGTCCTAGCATAGAGACCTTGGCCCGGGCCACCTGGTCTATACAGTCTGTTCGATAGGCTTGCTCGTGCGAGAAGACCTCAGCACTTTTGCGATTGCATGCCATATCCGCTTCCAGGTTTGTGGCCCATGTCCACCAGCTCTCTTTGCCAAACCTTTGGCAATGCTGGGCCTCATCTAGGTGACCCTTGGTCCACTCGAGCTGGACCAGCTCCCGCTTTTCTTGGGACGCCGACCAAAGTTGGGGAAACACCTCATGAGCCTTGGCCATAAGACAGCGTTTTATGGCCATTTTGCTGTCAGAGGATGACCTAATCGGCGCCTTGGTCCACTCCGCCAGCTGGTTGATAGCCACCTGCTCGCCGTCGTTGACAGTGGAGCCTATCTGGAGGGACCCAGTCATGGTGCCTACAAGCTTATATTTCCCGGTGTAAGGTGGATTATCCGGGAATTCGGTGACCCTAACAGCCACCACGGCCCAACTGATGACCCTGAGTCTTGGGTCATCTCCTCGGGGGCCTCCTGATGCGTCCGTCCCGAAGAAGATTGCTGGATCGGGGAGATGCTCACCCGTGAAGAGAGACCTTGGGACTGGGTACGCATCTGCGCAGGAGTGAGTGCCGGGTGCATGGTGGCCTGTTTAGGAACGATCCCACGGACCCTGAAACACTCAGGGGGGTTTGGGTACAAAGACTCCCAAGCAGGGTCCGGGCTTATGTCATGCACTGCCCACCTAGGGCAGTCGTGGAGAGTATGCTGGAGGCAATTTTGCAGCCCCACAGTTTGGGCACTTGAGGTCGCCTCCATGGCCCGCACGCCGGATGGCACCCTGACACAGCATGCGAAGGCCTGACGCGACCAACGGGCGCTTACTGGCTTGTTTGAGCATCTTCCTGGGCACTGTCCAGTCAATGCCCTCTTCGCAGCCCGCCGCAGACTCTTGGCTTGCGATGCGCTGCCATCTGTCCTTGAGCATGGCTTCCTTCAACTGGTTGGTGACCTGAGGCCCAGCCCCGGGTTCACTCCATGGGATTTTGATCTCAAAATCCTCTCGCTTCCACACATACATGTCAGGCGCCGTAAAACCCAAATCGCACAGGTAACGCTGCATCGCCGCAATGGGCCCTGCTGCAAGGCACCAACGGGTTTTGCTTTGTCTCAGGCGCGCCCATTGGTGGTGCGTCTTTTGGTTGGCCGTCCACGGTCTTACCCGCGCCTGGAAGTTTCGGAAGTGTTTCGGGATAGAGACCAGCAGGCTGCCTTTTTTTTGGCATGGGCGGGCCTCAAAGACAGCAGTTGCTGCACTCGGTCCCAGTAAGAACTACAATAGAGACCAGCAGGCTTCCGATGAAGGGCGACACAACCATGTCGGGGCTGTCAGCGACCTTTGCAGCCAGTGAGATTTGCCCTTTGCAGTGGCAGGTTGGGGCACGCCTCCGGTGTGCCTGGGACCGGGGTGTTTTGGGGCGCTCTACCATCCGCATGTGAATCCAGGCAACACACCCGCCACTGTACCAGGGTCGCTTCCGCATCTACCTGCCGTTGTCGGAGGAGGCGCTTGGCTTGCGACCAGCCGCGGAGCTGAGCCTGCAACCAGCGGGTCTGTTAGCTGGTGCTTTGGCGCGTGTCCGTCAGTGGACTCGACAGGCGGCTACGATCTACAAACTGCGTTAGCTGTCTGGCTGCCGGGGCCCAAATGGATTAATATGGAATCCGGAACGCTTTTTTGTGTTGGGGCGCCATACACTGGAAGGCCGCCTGGCGGAGATTCTCCGACGGGATTTTGCTGATGTGCCGATGTCCCCTCCCGCCGATTACGAGCCATATACCCTAGGTGAAGGGCTTCGCCTCGAAGACTGGATTGCTGCGGCCCGACAATTTCGGGCGCAAGGAGGACTGGCGGGTGGCCGGGTGGCCTACGCTACCCCTTTTTGGGCTACAGGCTGGTCCCCAGTTATCACAAGCTCTCGCCAAGGTATTCCTATACACGGCCGCAGCTCGTTGGGCGCCAGGAGCGTGGCGAGTGGACTTTTCTATACACTCTTAATGATGAACACATGGAAGACCCGGCGCATTTTCGGCGGATTCTCTGGGACGTTGCCACTCGATATTGGGATCGGTACGCACCGCAGGTCCGCCTGGTACCTTAGCACCAACACATGCTCAGCACGCGCAGGGCTAGGGTGCAGCTCATCTACTGGCCTCTGCCTGCGCGGCGGTCGCTACGGTTGGGCTGTGTTCCTCTGACCGGACTCGACGCCCAGTCATATGAGCCCTGGCCATTCGGCTTTGCGGCGGCAATCATGTGCGGTGTAAATACAGGGCGCTTGCTTGGCTGCGTTGCGGCTAATTTTCTGGGCCCCCTGCCTGTGCGGCGGCCGCTACGGCGGGGCTTGGTCCCCTGATCGGCCTCGACGCCCAGTCATACAAGCCCTGGCCATTCGGCTTTGCGGCGGCAATTATGTGCTGTGATCATGCAGGGCGCCTGCTTATCGGCGTTGTGCCGCCCCTTTGAGCACCGCCCGAGGCCATCATTGCTGCCCTTGTGTCGTGGTGAATTGAGTCGATGAGCTCTTGGTACGGACGCTTCTGCATGCTTTGCCATTTTGGCTCCCTAAGCTCAGGCTAGGTACCACGCCATGGCCACGCTTCCTGAGAACCTTGTGGTTCAGGTTGTCCATGCAGTGCCTCTCTGGGCATTCATTACAGGTGCTCTTCGGCGCCCCACCCTCGGAGGCCACGCGGCAACTGCTGTCTACGACCGACCCAAACGAGCGGCGGGCAGCTGGCGTGGCCCTTCAACGGCAGCTTGCGGAGTATCAGGATCGGGTCTCTTTCTTTCTGGCGCAACGCACCTTCAGAGGAGTCTGGGTTGCAACCAACTTCCAGCTGATCGTTCGACTCGGATTTCAGGTGCGCGCCACCATTTTACAGATTGACTTCGAGGCCATAATTTCGTTGGCTTCGGTGTCACGGTATATGTGTCATTTGATCCTATCACAGTACGAGGGCACGGATTTCTTTCGTGCCGAGGCAATCCGGCAGGTCGTTGCGGCAGCGCAGCCCTTCGCATTGGGATTGCCTGGTCTGGCGCGACGCCTCTATTTCCCCATCGAGAACTTGTTTGAACTCCCCATTACACGTTTGCGCTCGCCCCTCGAGGCTTTCTCTCTATTCGGCATGGCCCCCAGTCACTATGACTAAGCATTTGCCCTTGCGAGGCCTACTCTGGTGGGAAGCTGGGCTTGGGAGTTTATTGTGTGCTCCTGCCTCCCTTCGGCATGACCATTGCCTTTTATATGGATGCGTCGGCACTGTCTCTGTCGTCATGGCTATTTCTCCTCTGCCCTTGCGAGACCCACTCTGTGGGAAGCTGGGCTGGGTTGCATGTGGAGTATTTGGTTGGTCCATGGCAATGTGTGTGCTGTTGCGCGGTCTATTGAGACCTTTGGCCTGTTCGACATGGCCTCCAGTCACTATGACTAAGCGTGTTTGCCCTTGCGAGGCCCACTCTGGTGGGAAGCTGGGCTTGTGAGTTAACTGTGATCGCGCACCAGCCATTTCGGCATATACCATCGCCTCTTCTATGGACGTGTTGGTACAACCTTCGCCGCCATGGCTGTTTCTGCTTTGCCCTTGCGAGACCCACTCTGTTGGGAAGCTGGGCGGGATTGAATGTGGCTTCTCGCATTGGCTCTTGGAAAGGTGTGTGCCATTGCGCGACCCACCGTTCATGGGAAGCAGGGCAATATGTGTGCCATTGGGCGACCCAGTACAACTGGGAAGCAGGGCATCTGAGCGGCGGTAGTCGCTAGGTGCCGGACATGTCTGGCTGAACGACGTCTGCCGGCTTAGTCTGCAAGTCGCAGCCCGTCTCACCCTGTTTTGCGTAGTCTTCTTCTTTTGTACAGTTGTTTGTTATTGACATTATTGTAGTTCTTACTGGGGCCGAGTGCAGCAACTGCTGTCTTTGAGGCCCGCCCACGCCAAAAAAAAAACGGAGGCGGTCAACTTATGTATTGTGGATCGGGTCGGCGATTTTACTGAGTGTGGGGAGGCTGCGCATCAGCGCCTCACTGCCGCTATGACCAGAGGCACCGGGCCGCTCCTTGTACACGCCTCGAGACTTCTCGCCGCGCACATGCGCGGCTATACGGCTCCAGTGGCAACAATGAAGGGTTACCGCCAGGTTGGACTCGGTCCACTGTGAGCGAGAGTCAGATGACACAGAAGTTCCATCGGCGGTGGCACACACATGTGTTCCCGCCCATCACTGATGCCACTGCCTTGCTGGTTGCTCTTTGATGAGGACTCTGGCCGGCACCGCACCCAGCTCTATCTTCTTCGAGGTCCAGACCAACAGCTGACGGGACCACGGGGACAACCCCGCATCTCCACTTCTTCCCGGTTTTTGACACTGCGGACCCCTACCTCGTCACTCTGGATGTGGATGATGCACAAAGCCCCTCGCTTATCAATTGCGGGATTTCCGTGCCCAGCCCCCAGACCGCTTGTATGACGCATTTGAGGAGTACCACCTATGCAGCATCTTGGGACGGATGGCGGTCGGCGCCACGGAAATGGCAACGGACAGCTACAACGCGAAGTGGGCAGTTGCCTCGCTCCCAGGCTGTTTCTATTCGGCGCATATCGCCGCGGACCACACCACGCAGGAGTTCATGCGGTTCCGCCGAGACCGGTTGCAGGTGCTGTTGGGGGCCGCGGCGGATGTGGCATCCTTCCAATTCGGAGATGAGTCGACCGGCCTCGCGGCCGCACGGTATGATAGGCGTGGCCGGCGTATCGTCAAGCAAACGGCTAGCGCCGGAGCGGGCGTCAAAGAGGATCCCGCTTTCGCGGATGAGCTCTGTAGCACTGGCTGTCCTTGCGTGCAGCGCCCTTCTGCCGATCCAACGACCAGCAGGCGGCCGATGAAGGCCGACACGACCATGTGGGTGTACGAATTGCGGTGGCTTTCACGGCAAGCGAGCGTCTCCGGCGTGCTTGGGACAAGGGTGTGCTTGCCCTTCACCACCCGCAAATACAGCCGGGCACCCCTCAGTACCAAGGTCGCTTTCGCATCTACCTCCCGCTAGCTGAGGAATCGCTGGGCTTGAGACCCCCTGCGCAACTGAGTCTGCAGCCCGCGGGGGTCTACTGGCTGGTGCCTTGGCGCGGGTTCGCCAGTGGAACCGGCAGGATGGCTATGACATACAGGCTGCGCTCGCAGTCTGGCTACCCGGACCTAAGTCGATCCGTATGTGGTACCCTGAACGTTTTTACTTGCTGGGGAGCCACAGGCTGGATGGCCGGTGTGCGGAAATTCTACGACGGGATTTCGCCGACGTGCCGGTAACCCCTGCCGAATATGAACCGTATACCCTGGGCGAGGGCCTTAGTTTCAACGACTGGATCGAAGCGGCCCGACAATTCCGTGAGCAGGGCGGCTTACGATATCCATTTTTGGGTTACAGGCTGGTCCCCAGCTATCATCGAGTCTGCGTTCGCGACTTGTTGCGTCAGTGTGTGTGCTCTTCAAACCCATGTGCTTGGTACACTGCGTGTACCTTCTCTTGCGGGAGGCAAAAGCTCTTTGGAGCCTTTATCTTCTATTTGATTTTGGGTGTTCCTTTTTCCGGAAACTGGGACACTAGGCTTCGAAGAAGCTGGACTTTGGGGGACGTTCCTTTTTGGGGGAAATTGAACGCATGAATCTTTGCAGAGATTCTTCCCTTTTTATCTCGATTGATTATTTTATGCTGCATGCGAATCATGTCTATTGCATGGCAGCCACAGGGTCAAGTGGTGAGATTTTGTTGGTGATGCCGGCGATATTGCCCGGCAGCTCGTGGATGAGCTGGGTCTCTGCATATTTGATGAGCTTATTGACTGGCTGGTGTATCATATAGATGAGGCTCAGCGTCGGGCACCACTGCGGGAACGGTCAGAAGGGCTTCACGGGGATACTGCTTCATGGGTGCTGTTGCGGGGACTGAATCGAGGGACCTCGAGGATTGGCGTTTCAGCTGAATCTGGATTGGCGAGCTTGGCCTTACCTGAGAAGGGGCGCAAGCGGCGCTCGCGCAAGCGGGCCCTCGACGAGGTCTCTGA